ACCGAGGCACAGTCAGGAGGGAGTGTGGGTACCATGTTATTCACTGAATGAAAATGAAGGAAAATGTTTACCCTGCTGGAGCAGAAGACCGGAGAGGCTGGGAAACCATGGCCCGCACTTTGTCCCCCCCACCAGGCTCAGCATGCCGACCCTCAGCCAGCAAGCTCACTTGAAGACAGGCCTGCAAGATGAAATGAGGCTGGAAGGAAAGTCTGTGCCCCACCAGGCAATGCGAGAGTCACCACGTACTCATCATAGGCACACACCCTCACTCTTGGTCCATGCCGGCAAGTAGCACATTCTTAAATTGTGTCCTTGCTGACACTTCCTTGGTCAGCCTGTCAGCTAGAAAGTTTTGTTCAATTCTTTTGAAAACCCAAAACACCTATCTGTCACTTGGGCTTGGAAACTCCTCTTCTACATACCAGCAGCACTTTCAAAGGAAGAGTCCCAATGTAGCGATGACACTAATCCATCTCTGCTTATTTTCCCAAGATTTAATACAAAGCCATTAAGTCTCATTATAACCATCAGTGGCCAAGCTGTAATTGACATGAACCAGATTTTCGGACTCATGAAAGAGAACTTTCTTTCTCTAGCTTCTCTTTCACTCTTTCACTCTCTCTCTCTCTCTCTCTGTTCCTTTCTCACCCCTCCGTGTGTGTGTGTGTGTGTGTGTGTGTGCATGCATGAGTATGTGTGTGTGTGTGTGTGTGTGTGTGTGTGTGTGTGTTGGTATTGCTGAGTAAAAATATAGGTTAACAGTGAGAAACAGAATACCCAGTAGAATATACATTTACTTTTGATTTAATTTATTCACCAGGGAACTTAGAAATCAAAAGCATACTTGGAACATCTTAATAACATGAGCTAACTGACTCAATCTGCTACATGCCATGATCTGCACTGAAAGACTTTCGTGCAATAACTCACTCAGTGTTGATAGCCAAGATGGGCACTACTGTGCGCTTCCCATAACTTAAAGAGTGGAGAAGTGACTTGCCTCACATTGCCAAGTGCACAGAGCAAATACGAGGGGCTTGGCAGTCAAACATTACTGCACATGCCCAGAACTCAGAGTGATAGACATCTCTAGGAGTACACGGTGATGTGGTCTACATCTCCCTGAACTCGGTGAGTTCATCAGTGAGTGGGTAAGTAAACAGAGGAATGAAGTAAGACTGAGCCCCCGAAACAATTTAGACCAAGTCAAATCAGAGATGCTCAGGTTCTACAGCTCCAAACCTTGCACAGCTCCACTCACTGTGAGGTACTCCAGTGGCCTGGAGAAAGGTTAGACTGTGTGAGCCCAAGGGAGGGTCACAGTGAGGCTCAGGAGGCAGCTGAGTAAGACTTGAACATTCCCGTATGTACATTCCCGTATGTACAATTCTAACGGACTTGAAAAAGAAAAAGTTGGCCTAAGGAAATGACTCAGCTGATTAAGTCCTTGTATGAAAAGCCTTAATTTGATACTCAGAACCTGTTGGGGAATAGCCGGTCCTGGTGGTGCTTTTGTATTTCCAGCACTGGGGAGGTGGAAACAGGCAGATCCCTGGGGCCAACTGTCCAGCCAGCATAGCCAAAGGGGCAAACTCCAGCCCAGCAAGAGAAACTCAAAATTCAAGTCAGCTATCAATTGAAGATGTCAAAGGTTGGCTTCTGGCCTTCACATGCAATGTACACATATGTGCATGGCCATGCTTGGGTACACACACACACACACACACACACGCACGCAGACACACACACACACACACACGCTGGCATACACACATGGAGTGTAGGGAGGCAAAAATCAAGCTAAGGTAACTTATAAGGCAAATGCAGTCTAAGGTGGGAGAGCGGCTGATACTGACCGGGCTGAAACAAGGTAGCAACAGTTT